TAGAAAAAGTTTATTTTTCCCTCCATAATTCTATGTTTAACACAAAAGGTCTGAATGGGCCTGAAGGACAGGTGTGGGCTCACCAGAGAGTTCATTTCGTAATCATAGTTGCTACCAAAATATACATTTTTATTTTAAGTATATTTTTTTCATTTTGTCATGGAAATCATGTCTGTAGAACTCTAATTAATTCGGATATACCTGAAAATATTACCTACTAAATGGATTTGTACTCTATTTGGTCCAATGTTGCTTACCGTGAGGCCAGTGAGACCCTGTTCCCTGCAGCAGTGCCGTGGAGCCCTCCATGGGACTGTCTACATGGGCTGCACATGAAACTCTGCACTTAACTTCATATGGGGCTACATGGAGCCTTACATGGGACTATATGTGGAGCCCTCCATGGAGCTGTGTATGGAGCCCTCCATAGAGCTCTACATTCTAGACCTGATGTTTCACAAGTAGGGTTGGTAAAGTAATTTACTACCCCAATTTATCCACTAATAAATGTTCCACTAATGTGACTGGAATCATGGAGCCCAGCAGACAGGTGGCGTGGAATGTTAGTATTTTAACATTTGTGCCACCTAGGGAAAGGGAGCTTTCCCACTTGTTTTAATGGCAAAGTTTTTCAGTTATCTATCTATCTATCTATCTATCTATCTATCTATCTATCTATCTTGTAAAATAGAGCAGATTGAAGGTTTGGTCTTTACTGGACCCCACCTTTATTCTTGTCATTTGCATTCTGATTGCTCTTCAATATTTTAGAAAAGGGGTGGAATTATTAGTAGTCTCCAGGGAATTAACTGGAACCTGGGACTGTACTCATATGAACATCATTTGTCATATGTGACAGAGCAGAAAAACAAAATGTGGGGACTAGCTAGCCTGGATGACCTGTCATATGGAACAATTTTAATCTTTTTGCTGAAAGTTGTGTTTTAAATCAAGTAACTGTAGATCAATGCTCCTGTGAATGGGATTCTGGACAGAGCAGTGTCTAAGCTGCAGAATAGTACAGTGTGTAATTATATGATAGATTCAATGAGTATCAATAAGTTTATTTTTAGCTGCATTGCCTCTAGGAGCAGAATCGGTGCAGGTTGTTCTGTAATTGCATTCATGACCAACACATGCTTCTTGTTATATTCTCTTTTGTTTTGCTGCTGCACCTAATGTGTTCAAAGAATGTCTCCCCTCTTAATGAATATTCAGTGTGCAGTGATCCTAAAATTAATCATTTGTTCTTTGCTTCTATTAGAATGAATATAGATAATCAAATAAATAAAATTTTGCTGAATCTCATCATTAGGAAGCCCTCCATGGAAGTTGAATTTATCAGGACAGTAGCAGTGTTAGGAGACATTTTATTTCCTCGTCTGGAAGAACCAGATTAATTTGCAAGGGGATTCTTTAACTTACTTTAAATAAAAAGACGGGAAGTGTGCTCACATTCCTAGGTTCCAGCTCCTGCCTCTCTCCCCTTCTTCCTGTGGGTGGGGGAGTGACCCTCAAGAAGGGTTTCCAGGTGGCCTCCAGACCTGGTTTGATGCTAATGCTTTTAGCCCTGACATCTTTCCTGAGTAGTTCCCGTGCCACCTTTTCCTGTGGCTGATTCCCTCCTGTGTTCCTAGGTCAGAGCCCTTGCTGGCATGTGCAGCAGAGATTTGCATCCCACCCATCTTGGAAGAGGGCGTTTTAGATCTCAGTTGAGACACTTACCTTCTATCTCCGGCTTTCTTTCCATAACATTAACAGGTTGTAGTTAGGTTTCTAAAACATCCCTTTTTCCTCTGTGCATTCTTCGTATTTACCTTCCATAGATTTTGTCAGAATCCTTTTGCTCAGCAAGTAATAGTCATCTCACTCCGATTTGGAGGTATCCACAGCCTTTTCCTTCTTTTGCATCTCAGCAAGGATTACCTTTGATGGCTAGCTCTATTTATGTTTGCCGTGGGTACTTCCTGTGGGGGAGGATGTCCAGGGAGTTGGTGGTAAGCCACGGATGTTTCAGTGGAGGCTACGGGGTGGCACGGACTGAGGTTCCATGAGCCATGAGGAGACCCGCCAGTCTCAGTTCTCTCCCTTTGCCGTGATAGGAGGCGTCCAGGGAAAGCCATTGTTCTGTATCCTAAGAGGAGACAGGTTGCATCCATGTTGTCTTTGCTCTAGTGCACATCTCTATATTCAAAAATATCTTTGAAGCACTGCACACCTCATGCCCAAGCAACTGCCTTGGAGCTGGTGGCCATCCTCCTTCTGGTCGCACTGGCCTGAGTCTGCTTGCTCTTGTCTCAGGTACCATGAGCAGATTCCTCCTGCAACAGTACACACATGCATGTGCCTGCACCTCAGTCATCAGTGGCTCTCCCTGCCCCTTCCTTTTCTTAGAGGCCTTAGTGCAGCTCGTCCTCCTGGGAAATTGGGTTCCTTACTGTCCCAACATTAAATTGCATCACTGGGTTGCTGACAGCCCTCGCTTCTGCTGTGCTTTTGGAATAGCTTTCTCCTTTGCTGGTAACCGCAGCCTGGCAATCTTCTACAGTCTAGGCATTTCTAGAGTGCTGCACATGTTTCAAAGGCCTGCTTTCACTCCCTCCCAAGAGAAGGGCTGCTGTGGGACTCCTGTTCTGGTAGGAACTCTCTCACTCATACATATCCCATGTGCCTTAGAGAGGCCCTGCACCAAACTAGAATTTTTTTGTAAAGGTTATTTTATGAATAAAAGCATGAATGAATGATTTCCTTGCCACTATCAACTCTTTTCTCTCATAATGGGTATGCATAGAAATTAAGGTCATGATAATTGTATCGTACTTCAGAAAATAAAAGTATGTGTTCAAATTGATGAGAGCTCACGAACATCTAGTGATAGGACTTGTTTCATAGCAACAAAGCATCCTTGAAAACGAAGTGACAGTGGCCATGGCTCTCTGACTTTGTAGATGAGAATGGAAAGTAAATTTCCAGCAATCATGAACCCCCCTTTTATATGACTATGTGTTTTAAATTGGGGGAAATCAAGAACTTCTTTAGCTGTTTTCAAGAAATGGGTATGGAGTTAACAGGAGACAGTTTAGCCACATTTAGCTAATCATTAGTGTAAAATAAACGGTGAATAGAAATCTTTCCTTAAGTGGATCCGTGGGGTCTGGATTTATTACTATGGGGTGGTGTGGATTCGTCTCACAATCACGGCTTGAATGACAAAATGTAGTCATTTTAGAGTGAGAGACAAATTCAGGTACATTTTAGCAAGTGCCTGCCTTTAAGGTGTGCGAATCTTAAAATGTTCATATTCTCAGTGCAGCCTCTCTTAGACCCGTAAGTCACAATAATAATAAGTGAAATAGCTGGAGGACGCATCTTTCCTTCGAAGGACAGTTTGGGTCCTGTTTTCTGTTAGGTTTGTTCGTAGAACAGTTTGCCTATTACATTTTTTGAAGGACCTAAGTAATGCTTTTTAAAAATAATAAGACACACTTAGCACTGCCTCCTTGCAGGGACATTTTAAAAACAGTCATGGAAAGAACCAGTATTTCCTTTGCACGTTGACAGCACCCAGTCTGTGCAGGCTTTTATTTTTCTGGCCACACAATGCAGTCGGTGCTTTCAGTTTGAACCAGGGGACTGTCTGCCTGGCGTACAGAGCCCGGGAGGTTTCACACACTCACTCCCCGTTGTGGGACACACTGGAAGTTTCTCTCGTGCTGGGATCGGTCCTCTGAACTCAAAATGAACAGCGGAGAATGAGATTTACAAAGAAGTAAACCAGAGAGGGTGGTGGGTGTCTAGGATCAGAATTCTAAATGATCAGAAATGCAGGTTATGGAAATACAACTGCAAGGAAGAACATGACTTGCTTAGGGCAGGGCGTGACCAGCAGTGCTCACGAGTAATGGAGAGCGGGGAGATGAGCAACTTGGCATGTTTGTTGAAGAGCCTAAACTTTTATGAAAAGGTACTATGCTATGAAATGTCAGAGTCTGTCCCTTAAAGAAGGAACAAGTCTGGTAAGAATATGCTGTAAATGTTGGAAACTGGAAAAAGGTTAAAGCAGGGGTCCTCAAACTTTTTAAACGCCAATTCACTGTCCCTCAGCCCTTTGGAGGGCCAGACTATAGTTTTAAAAAAAAACTATGAACAAATTCCTATGCACACTGCACATATCTTATTTTGAAGTAAAAAAAACAAAACAGGAAGAAATACAATATTTGTATTTGTATGTGGCCCGCAGGCCGTAGTTTGAGGACCCCTGGGTTAAAGTCTTTAGTCTGGAAGGGCAGTAGCAGCGATGGCTGATTGGGGTTCAATGGCATGCCCCCTCCACACTCAGCAAGGAAGTAAATTAACCTGGAACATGGAGACTTGGGTAGATGAAGAGTATGTATCAAGTGCATCATTGCAGGAGCTTTTGAAGTCTTGGGTTGTTTTAGGAATAGGGTACATGATCCAAATTCCTGAGAGCAGGACTCATTACTTCTCCCTCTTTCTTACTATGATATACATTTTGGGCAGTCGGTGTAGTTTACAATGTACTTTAACGTGTGCCGTGTTTTCTCGTCTTCTCAGCAGCCCTGTCAGGAGGGCAGTGGGTTTTCCCCCTCAAAGCATCAAGAGGGGCAGTTAGAGGGGCCCTTGCCAGGTCGCACAGCCCCTCTCTTTAAAGGGTAGAGTTATGCCTCTATGTCTCATTCAATGGAATGACTCACAACAGCACGTGTGAATAGTTTTCTTCAATTGAAAATGTGAGCTTCACTCTGGACCTCACAAGTCACTCTAAACCTAATAGTTCTGCCTCCAGGCAAACTGAATAGGAGTGTACCCATCAAACTTGTTTCTGGAAGAGGGAATTGAATAAATGTTTGCTTCCCAAAGTGCGTCATTTTATGAAAGTCACAGATTAGAAAGGCAGGTTAAGAAGGGTCTTTCTCTCACTCTAAGGATCATCTTGTTCTCCTGACAATCACTACTGACTGACTTCTTGTCTTTTTCAGAGTGAAGACCTGCCTGGCTTCATTACCACAACATCACACATCAGAGAATCACATGGAAAAGAAGAGGCTCAGCATTTTATAAACATTTGAAGCTGCTTACAATTGTTCTTTGGGACCTGAGCAATTACTTTGTTGTAAACATCTGCGGCTGTACTAGACATGAAACCAAGGCAAGAACGGCCGCCTCCCTCACTGGTTCCCATAGGGGGCATTCATCCTTGTGCTGTTTGTGTTGTGTTTTGTTCCGTTGTTTTAACACAATTTGCCGAAGAAGTAATTCTCAAGAAAATGGGATGTTTTCATTGGCCTTTTTAAATTGTGGCCAGTGTCTTAATTTCTTCTGACGTTCATTTTGGCAAAGCCAGTTTGTCCCTCGGCATGCTCGAGATTCTACCAATACCCATTAAAGTGGTAAAATCTGGTATTTACTGGCATACACTCAAAACTACCACAGTCCTACCTCAGTTCCAGGTGAAGCCGGATTTGCAGGGTTGGGGGCCGGCGGGACCTCCGTGTATCTCTGCTGAATGTGGCGCCAGAGTGGTCATCAGCCTTACTCCACTGGTCCCAGTACACAGCTGCTTGTTGGACTCCAATCCAGGTTCCTGCGTGTTTACTCACAGACAGAGCCCAGTGTGGGGCTGACATTTCTCTATGGGAATGAAATTTGTGATTGGACGTTGAAGATGGATTAATAAATAATTATATGTAACTAAAGCAGCCTACTTTTGGAAATCATCAACTGTATTGGGTATTGGGGGTGGGAGGGGAGGTGTTGGGGCAGGGGCTGAATCTCTCTTTTTAACAGAGTTGTTTAATCTTCCCTATGTAGATGTTTCTGTAGGTACTTCAAGTTGCGAAAGCCTTTGATCCTATTTACAAGCTCAAATGTCTCTGCTGTCCTTAATCTTGAGCTTGCATTTCTTTCACCAAAAACTCACCTAGGCATGCCAGCAATTCAAGGGTGGTCACCGGTTTAGCAGAGTTTTTAAAAATGTTATTTATTATCTTAACTATAATGCTATGGTGTGGGCCACCGAGGCTTTCCTGAACTACAGTACAACAAAAAACGGGACGGGGGGTGGAGGAAAGAAACTGATAAAAGAGGCATTTCGGGCCCTGCATTGTTAATGGAAAAAGAAAAAAGAAGGAAAACAATCTCACAGTCCATGTCACGTGTTGGAAAACTCCTGACAAGACTACGCTTACGTTTTCAGTGTTCTGAAAATACCAGTGTTGTGTCGATTCTCACAGGTGTCACCTAAAACTGCTGCCCTTGACCAGCAGAACGTCATGTCATCTCGCTGCTCCCTTGGCACATGATGGAGGGCTGCAGACCTTTTTCTCCCATGGGTGGATCCCCAGTGCCTATCTTCTCTGATAGTCCTGAAGAGGTTACACTAGTTCATTGGAGGTGTGAACTTGTTTTTTTTCTTTCTTTTTTTTTTTTTGGAGAAAAAATTATATATAAATATATAGATATATATCACTATAGAATAATGCATTACTAAAAATGAGGCTTTTTTAGAGGAAGACCAAAAAATTCAATGTCTTAAGAATATATTTAATGGCAATGCAAGCGTCTTCCTGCTTCCATGCTGAACTCTTAGAACAGAGGATTGTATTGCAAGACAAAGTTGAATGTAAAGTGATCCCCCCTGGACGTTTTTTAAAAGTTTTACTTTTCTAAAATTACACATCACAGCAGTGCATAGAGCGTACGACGTTAGTTTGAAGGTCAATTTCAGTGTATAATAGACATACTTTATAAAAATGTATAAAATGTCCTAAAGTGTTGATATAGTCTTGGGACTAGGACTCGGGCGGTATTTGCTATGTGACTCCCCCAGGTACGTAGGACTGAATATATGGGCCCTGCAATACAGTGTATGACGGTATTTAAGTAGCTCTCTATACTTAGAGTAGTCATGCCTCTATACCAATGGTTCATGTTCATACTGCAACTTCAAACTAGCAAATGAAAAGTTGGTAATATACTAAATGTTCCTCTATCCCCTACATTTCAAAAAAAGGCATATGCAATATTTACAGTTTTAATTTAGTTTACAAAATGCTGTCTCCCTC